ACTGTATACATTTTCCACATACATCTAACTCGAAAATTCTGAAAAATTTAAATTTTATAATTTTCCTCCAATTTTTCCATTATGGTCCATTTTAGAGAAATCATGTAAATAAAAACAAAAATTGTAGAGATCGATATGAAAAACATCTTTTAATTCAACAATTTTCTTAAAAATCATAATTTTTTACATTTTGTAAAATTTCTCGAATACGGACCATTTTAGGAAAATTTTACATAAAACAAAAATTATAGAAAATAATATGAGAAGTAACTTTTATTTAAAAAATTTTCTTCTCCAAACGTAAATAATAATAATATAATAATAAATTGTTTTTATTTGATTGTAATATATAATGCACATAAACATCATGAGGCGAAGTCTAGCTTGCGCTACTCAACTTAACCTCAACATAAATATAAATTTAAAATAATCAGAAGGTATCCATCATTTACAATATAAAAAAATAAGAAATTTAATATACAATTAATTTATGATTAAAAAATGTTAACCCTGTATTTAATCTAAACTGAAATCAATGGAACTTAAAATACAATTAAATAAGGAAAAATGTTTGAAATTAATAATGTATTAACGTTAGCACTGTATTCATTGATCAACTAATAGCAACGTTTTATAATTTTATTTTAAAAATGTCAGAGAACATGTCCTAATTTCCCTAGGTAGACTGTTATATATTGAAATGGCGTTATATGTGAAAGATCTTTTGAAAAATGATAATCGGTAATTCGGAATCGTTAAGTTATGTGGATATCTCAAATGTAAACTGTGCAGATCTTTCCGATATATCAATTTATTTTTTAAGTATATGGGAGTTGAGGTTAAAAGAATTCGAAATACCGTGGCCGCCATCTGATATTTAAATAAATTTCCTATATTGAGCCAGAATTTTATTTGATATTCTATCATACTTTCTGATACCAAATACAAAACGACAACAACAATTTTGAATCTTTTGAAGTCTGTATTTGGTTATTTGATCCAAACAAGGATAGTAAATTAAAAGTCCATAATTTAGGATGGACAATACAAGACTTTCACAAAGCAACTTACGTAATTTGAAACTCAAAATACCTCGATTCCTGTATAATTGACGAATAACCAGATACGATTTTTTGACTAGAAGCGAAACATAGTCCTGAAACCTTAATTTACAGTCATAAATAATGCCTAAGTTTTTGGCACTTCTACATGATTTTAGCAGTTCATTTTGAATGAATAACTTAAGGTTCTGTTGCACATTATGTTCTATATTTTTGGGACAAAATAATATTGTATGACATTTACTGGCATTTAGTTTAAGATTATGATTCATAGAAAATGTATATTTATACTGCATTTAGATCTGAATTCATGTTTTGCGAGGCTATATCTACTTCACATGGGTCAAAGGAATAATATAGTTGCGTGTCGTCAGCAAAAGAGTGTATATTTACATGCTCCAATAATTTATAAAGGTCTGAAATATATATGGAAAACAATAGGGGACCAAGAACAGAGCCTTGGGGTACTCCTGATGTTACACCCATAAAGATGATTTCTCTAACGTTACTTTTTGGTAGCGGTTACTTAAATAAAATTTAAAAAATCTTAGTGAGGTTTCATCGAAACCAAAATATTTGAGTTTGGCACAAAGAAGCTGATGATCTATAGTGTCAAATGCTTTAGAAAAGTCAAGCAGAGTAACTATTGTAGCTTTTCCTTCATCCATTGATCTTATAATGTTATCTGTTAAATCTAAGAGTAATGTTGTAGTACTAAAACCCTTTCGAAAACCTGATTGTTTAGTGGTTACAATATTATGAGAAAATACGTATGTATATATTTGCTTACTAATTACTTTTCTATAATTTTGGACAACGTCGGTAAAATACTTATGGGCCGAAGGTCGCTAAATGTTTCAGGATTATTTGTTTTTGGCAAAGGCTTGATTAAGGAATACTTCCAGCTATCAGAGAAGTAACCAACTTCTAAACAGCAATTTACAATGTGCGTTATGTAAGGAGCACAGACTGAAATAGAAAGTTGTAACATCTTTGCTGTTATCAATTCCTAATGCGTTTGATTTTAATTCCAAAACTATTGACCTAATTTCATTTACTGTTGCAAGTTTAAAAGAGAAGTTAATACTAAGATTAAATAGATTTGAGTTATAATAAGATGTAGTGTAAGGACAACAATTTCTCTGACTGAATACCGACGTAAAATACTTGTTTATATCAGTAGGGTCACTTAAGCCATCAGGAATATGGAATGTAGTTTTTAGACTTAGTTTTTAGTAGACCATTTTAGGAAAATTAAAATTTTACGTAGAACAAAAATTATAGAAAATAATATGAGAAGTAACTTTTATTTAAAAAATTTTCTTCTCCAAACGTAAATAACAGATATATTCCATAAAATATAAAAACGGCCTCCCATAAAGTACCCCCCCAAATGTTCCTTCGTCCAAATTCTAATCATTTCACCTCAGGCCGAAATAAAACGTTTAAAATTTAATGTTTTTTTCCTTTGTCCGTTTTTGAGTTTTCTTCAAAATTCGAAATTTACACATTTTCTCAAATATCTCGAATACGGTCCATTTTAGAGAAATTATGTATGGGATAAAAATTATAGCGAATTATACAAACAACTTTTATTTGAACAATTTTTATAAAAATTAATTTTTTTTACATTTTGTCAAATTTCTCGAATACGGACCATTTTAGAAAAATTTTATATAGAACAAAAATTATAGATAATAATATTGTAAGTAACTTTTATTTGAAGAATTTTCTTCTCTAAACGTAAATAACGAATATATTCCATAACATATAAAAATGACCACCAATAAAGTACCCCCCAAATGTTCCGACTCTGTCCAAAATCTAATCAGTTCACCGCAGGCCGGAATAAAGCTTAAGTATAAAATTTGGTGTTTTTCTTTGTATCGGTTCATGAGTTATGGTGGATATTTTTCACTTGTTGAGTCAATACTAAGCTATGATATACTAGGGTGGGGAGGAGTAGCAGATTGTCATTTAAATGATGTTCATGTCATCCAAAAGTGGATTCTAAAAATCATTTATAGGAAAGACATTACCTTTTCAAGTCGTCTATTATATAATGACCTAAATATTAAAGATATTAGACAATTATATTGTTTCAGAATTCTTTTATCCATAAAAAAGGGTAGAATTAAATTAATTCCAAACGAACGTGTTTACCATACAAGACGGAACGAAGAAATATTCTTTCCTAGATCCAGTAAAACTATAGGACAACGAAACACTAACTTTTTAGCGCCAAGATTATATAGCTTATTATCATCAGAGATAATAAATGCATGCTTCTACAGTGCTTTTAAAATTAAACTAAAATCTTTATTTGCAAATGGAGGAGGAACAATGTTTAGTGAGGTGGTTAATAATTATTAATTATTTATTTATTTTTACAATAATGAAAATGGAAACTGACTTCTTTAAATTAAATTACATTTTTCGGTCTTTATTGTAACGTTTTACCCAAATTACGTGCTAATATCCCTGATGTGACTTTTTAACCGAATATGTCAAGTATTATTTTGCTTCTGATTGTGACTTGTTCTCTACTGTGACATATGTACACTTATTTTAATGTATCTACATCACATACAAGTGAAATTTTTTACTTCTGTGATTTTTTTATGTTTATTCAGAATTACCCATTTTTATTGTATTTACTGTAAACAAATTTCTTACATGAATAAACATTATTATTATACAGACACACACACACACAGACTGACACACACACAGACATCATCCCGAAAATAGTCAAAACGGATTCAGGGGACCCCAAAACGTAAAAATTCGTCGAAAACTGGAGGTCGAAAAAAATCATGATTCCTATACTTTGCTTATATCTGTATACAGGGGGTCGATTCTCGACTTGTAGGAACCTTTTCCTATAGGAATTTGTGACACTTTCCTATATGTAGGTAAATGTCATAAATTTTAGATGTATAGAAAGATGTCAAAAATTCCTATAGGAAAAAATTCCTACGAGTCGAGAATCGACCCCCTGATAGGAAAGTAAAAAAGTATATAAATTGAACTTAAAAAAAATTGGATATAATTGAAGCGATTAAAAAAGATTAATAAAGTAGCTCATGCAGATCCTTTCATGTACATTTTTCTTCTAAGTTAAATGTTATTGTATAGATATTATTATATTCAGTTTAGATATTGTGTTAAGTTGATTGGAAATTAAACCATATACACACAAATTAGTGCTTTGTGTTTATTTTCCCAATTGGAAATATTTACATTAATATTTATTTTGCCAACTTGTTACGAATTAGAAAATAACGTGAAATTAAATATCAAGCCATAGCTGATACGATTTAAAAACTAATGCTTTACTGGTTGCCTACGTTGTCTGCGCCCAACTGTATTTCAGAGGCGCGTCTTTATATTTATCTTTTATTTTCCAATTATTGTTGGGCTGTATACACGATCTTTTCTTAGTGCTTTATCCCATCCATTAACCTGTTGAACTGCAGTTTGTACATAATATTATTATGTTTTTGCAAAATAGTCTAAAAATAATTTTGAAATTAAATAATGGGTCTTCATTTATCCCAATATAATACAGTACATGTTATTTCAATTATAATACAAAAAGAAAATGTAAGTGTCCACAATTTATGTTCGATTTCTTTGAGTAAAACGACCTAAGTATCAAGACGCTTCTCCAAAGAATAATACAGTTGAAATATATAGCTTATAATTTCGCTTCTTGATAATCGGGTAAAACTTCTTAAGAAACTTTTGTTATCTTAAAACAAGGAACAACGACTTAAGAAATTTTACCCTGCATCCACAGAGTATTGAAAACATTTCTGTTCTGTATTGCTGCATGTGGTGTCACATTTTGTCTTATTATTTTTTAATATAATTAATTATAATATAAAAATATCAAAACAACACTTTGTAGGTCTTTTAAAATTTAAAAAATTGTAGATTTTTGAGAATGAAAGGTTGTAAAAATCAGGCTAATAGGGAAAGAAAGGAAAGGATGATACAATTTGTTCATGAATATGTTGAAACGGATCAATGTAGGAGACAATTTGTGTTAAAATATTTTGAAGAGAAATTAGACACCTCCAATCGAGATACATGCTGTGATAATTGCTTAAAAATGTAAGTACTTTGAAAAAAATTAAAAAGTTGTTTGAATGACGTTTTTTTCCAGTAAGCTTCATACAACAAATTCCGATATCTACACTGATCTAGATGAAAACGGAAAGTATAATTTTTCCACAGATGCAAGACTTCTTTTAAGCGTCATAGATTGTATGAATTGCAGTTACGGTATGATGACATATATACATGTCTTAAGAGGTTCAAAACAACAGAAATTGGAAAAATTCTTTAGATTCCCTTTATATGGTGCTGGCAAAGGAAAAAGCGAAATATGGTGGAAAGAATTAGGTAAGAGAACTATGACAATAGTTATCTTGAACATAACTTTGACATTTAAAACTGCCTACTTTTATGCTTTAATTTAGGTAACTTGATGGTAAGACATAACTTACTGACTAGGTCAACTGCCAGTTTCAACGAATTTGCTACATTGATAGAAATGACAGATGCTGGAAGAGCATTTTTGTTGGATCCGAAAAAAGAACTTTTAACACATCCTACTCAAGAAATGTTACCATGTCTCAGATCAAAGAAGTAAGGACATCTTATATGCTGCATTAAAATTATCCATAAAGTTCAGATGTTATAACATTTCATTTCTTTTCTTTTTAGAAATATTTGGCAAAATAAAGACAGTAATACACCATCTGCAATGCCTAGTACAAGTACACAGTTGTTTATAGGAGACGATGAAACCGAAAGTCCTGATCAGTTAGATAATAGGATGACTTTATACAGGTAAATAGTTTCACCCCAATGATGTTATCGACATGATTTTTAATAATACTATTGTATATTTTAGGCTACTTATAAATAAAAGAAAACTTATAGCAGATGATGAGCATTGTTTGCCATACATGATTGCTTCTAATAAAGCCATCATGGAAATGGCAAAGTATAGACCTCAAACTTTGAATCAAATGGAAACGATGAATCGTAAGTACCATTTTAAAAATATTTTGTTTGCACAAAAAATGTAGCCAGTACTTCTAGTAAAATTTGGACATTTAAAATCGTTTAATTCAAATCCTTATTTTAATTTTTAGTTGATGGATTGACATCGGTAAAGATCAACAAATTCGGCAAGCACTTCCTGAACATATTAACACAAAATCAAGAAAAGTTATCAATAGAACAACTCTTGAAAAAATATCCATTGCCAGAGACGTTTAAAATAAGTCCAAGCGCTAGGGTTTCGTATGTGCTCTACCAGTCAGGGAAAACGTTAAAACAAATTGCACAGGAAAGGTAAATCAACATTTTTCTACTTATCTTAAAAACAAACAAATATTATTTTGCATTAAAAACATAAAAATTGTCTGGGGGCTTGATCTCACCCTGTATTTTAAATCCATATTTATCTTTGAAGGAATTGATTGAAGGTGAGTGTTTTTCTTTCCATCATACAAAATCAACGGAGATCGAAACGCACTGGTTTAAAAACGATAACAGATTTTATTCACTGTAAAGGGAAGCTATTTCCTATGGTAGCCGATCACCCATTTTGATTATTCAAAGTAGTATGATAGCTGTGCGTTATGTTGATGGTGTCCTACAAACCACTTTTCTTCCTTATCTAAATGGCCGTCCACAAGTCCTTTTTCAACAAGATAACACACGTCCCCATATTGCACATTGAACTATGGACTTTCTTCAATGGATTTAAATCCCATTGAACATGTGAGGGATATGTTGGGAAAGAGACTATCCACTTTAGCCCATATTCTGGCACAGTTAATCCATGAAGTTCAAGTTGCTTGGACGAGGTGCCACAAGCTAACATCGACCATCACATTTTATCAATGTCTAGATGTGTACAGGAGTGTACTCGGCTATGGGGTCACCAAAACACATTTTTTTTTGTTTACATGTTAATAAAATTTCTTGTAAATGTTATCGTTTCATTCTCGATGTAAAACTACTACATTTCCAAAAAAATCAAGTTTAAGAAATGATTCCTTCTGGGTGTAATACTTCTGTCACTAAATATAATTTAAGTAAACAAAACTCACTCTAAAACATAAATTATAATCAAGTATATACTGTTACTGTAATTGTCAGATGTTGACAGATGTACATATTTAAACAGGACCCTTTCAGTAATTTGTACTTCTTTTAAGAAGAAAGTCTTTTAAATCTCTTTAGACTTTAGAATCTATTACTGAAATCAAAGGCACATGTTAAAATGACAAGCATTTTTTCTCACATACTTCAGTTACTTTATTTATAATCCACATAATTCACCTCGTGCAAATAATTTCTTTATAATCCACGTGATACCGTCTACCCCAGTGGCGGCGATATTCTAATTCGCTGACTCTAACACGGCCATACTGACGGGTGTTTCATTCTCGAAACATATATCCATTTCCACTGTGGTGTCTTCAGTTTCTGTGGAAAAAGGTAAAACGTGACCTACATTACAAGGTCCAATATATACTTTCATGACCCCAAGCTTCAAGATATTGTAATCTTGAAAAACAAATCATAAACAAAATATTTCATGGGAGTATGCTGACCCCATCTTTCAATTCGTAATCCTAAAAACAATTCATAAATAAAATAATCCATGCGGGAGTATGTTGACTCCATTCTTCAATTTGTAATCCTAAAAACAATTCATAAATATTTCATGAGAGTATGCTGACCCCATCTTTCAATTTGTAATCCTAAAAAAACAATTCATAAATATTTCATGGGAGTACGCTGACCCCATCTTTCAAGGCATATTATTCGCCCTTGAGACAACACAATTCACTTGGGAGTATGCTGACCCCATCTTTCAAGGCATATTATTCGCCCTTGAGACAAAATATAACAATAAACATGGGAGTATGCTGACCCCATCTTTCAATTTGTAATCCTAAAAAACAATTCATAAATATTTCATGGGAGTACGCTGACCCCATCTTTCAAGGCATATTATTCGCCCTTGAGACAAAACAATACACATGGGAGTATGCTGACCCCATCTTTCAAGGCATATTATTCGCCTTTTGAGACATAAAAAAATATGACTAAAGATGGGTGTATGCTGACCCCACCTTTCAAGACTTATTATTCGTCCTTAATACATAAAATATAACATTAAAGATGGGTGTATGCTGACCCCACCTTTCAAGGCATATTACATCATCCTCGAGATATAAAACCTGCAACAATAAAAATCATAACAGTCAACATAAAACATTTACTTTACCTTCAGTTTTAAAAAATTGAGTCTTGCAAATCAGTCACTAATGATAACCCGCTTGGCCAAAGTCTGACTGGTTTAACATTTTTGTCAACGCCTCTATTTTTCTCTGCTCCGATCTACCATCTTCGGCGGAAATCTTCCATCCAATAAAATCAATTTTTTTGTTTGTAAAAACATTTTCAAATATTTAGGAAAAACCATATTTTTTCTAAGGCTACTAAAATTTGCTCCAAATAAATCAACCTTGTGAAACAATTTTGCTAAAAGTCGACATGACAATAAAATTATTAATTAAATTAATTTCCATAGCACAGTTGTTTACTGCAAAAACAGAAAAACTAGTAAACCACAAATTGTAGTAATTTTTATTTGTATTTTAATAATCTGACAAATCCACGGAAATTTTTCAAACACCCGGTAACTGTCGCTTCATAATATTCTACGTATCATTCTAATCAGTAACAAACATTAAACGTGTACCTAGACTGAGCTGGCTTGCCTGTAATTTTGTTCCGAACTTATATTTTGAAATAAACTGTCTCGGGCCATAATAGAAATTTCCTGTAAATTAACCCGGACTGTTCAATAAATGTTTCACACATCAGAGGGACACTTAAGCTCGGTATCAATAAACCCATATAGGTTGATTAATATTTATTTCCATTGGCACACTTGCTTTGCTCTGAAGAAACATAATTAATTTTATGTGTTTTATCTTTGAGTCTTTAAGAAAACAGTTTTCGTTACGTGACCTGACTTAAATAAAAAAATATATTATTTTTTTTGACTAGCTAAGGCAATATCGGCATCATTATGAATGGTTGACTCTTAAATTTTTATCTCGCTTAAAATTCTGAGTGTTGAATTATTTTGGAGGAAAAATTATTGTTTCTTACACATTATTATTTCTTTTTCTTTTTTTTTTATATCCAGATACACATTTTGGAATAGTGCCTAAATATGAAATTAAATCACTAATTGAATTGAAATCTCTAATAGTACGTTTCATGAATCCCATAAACAATTATTTTAGTTAAAAAATTAAACCTTCTGTACTCCGATTACGATTATCACGCAAATTTTCCACTAAAGTAACCTTTTTAATTTGAACATTAAAATGTATAAAAATTAGAGAGAGCTGTCAAAAGAAGAAGCTCAAAAAGTAAACGTCCAACAATTTTTTGTGTGAAAATGATTCATAAAAATTAAATTTAAAATTTTTCAATAAAGTAACACTTTTTTATGAGCATAAGCTACATAAGAACTAAAGAGTGAGCTGTCAAAAGAAGAGGCTACAATTTTCTGTAGTAAAATTACTCTTACAAGTTCAAATTTAAAATTACATTTTTATTTTTTTTTTTTTTAAGGAAGCATCTTTTTGTTTTCAACATTAAATGTATACAAATTAGGTTGAGCTGTTAAAAGTAGAGCCTTTAAAAAATAATCGTCCAAAAATTTTATATGTGAAAATGACTGAATGAAGTTCAAATTTAAAATTAGACCAATCTCTTAATGTTGGTGACCAATTCTCAAACCAAATTTTAGCATCGCCCTATAAAAAGCGTTCAACTCTTACCAGTATCTGCAGGTCTTACCACTCACACTTCTCTTTATCTTTTCGAACTGTTGTATCCAAACCTTAGAATCATCGGTATCTGACCAAAATAAAAGCAAATCAACTTGTTCTGCAGTTGTTCTGCTGTTTTTGGAATTGTGCAACATCTCTGCGAATAAATCATCCTTGATACACTTTTAGACACTTCGTTTTAAATGTGAAAACGTGAACAGGATCCACACTTCTGCTGTTAGAAGTTAAAAGAATTAACTTCAAAATTATTGTTTTTAAATGATTTATCGCCCTGTATACTATAACACCCTGTATAGCCACTTCATAAAACACGTGTTAACATGGTTTTATAATGTTTTATTAAATATCTCATAAACAATGTCTTTAAAGGCATATTCCTAGCGTTCGGCTGCTCGAAAGTCAAGTCCCCGCTCTCTCCTGGTCCTGGACACTGCAATGGACAGACGTGATACCATCTACCCCAGTGGCGGCGATATTCTAATTCGCTGACTCTAACACTATAATTGTAAACAACATTTTATCCTTATTATGCAAAAGAAATTACGCATCAGCTATATCACGCGATGTCCCTCAACCAATGACAACGGGCCCCGTCCACAATTGCAGCTGTTCACACTCGACTAGACGAGACAGTCATGGTGAACAACTTTGCATTCCGACGCAAACACCATCGTAAATTCTCTCGTCTTGAGCTCGACGCAAAAAATATATACTTTTGAGAAGATGTATTAAAACCTGCTCTCTGTGATATAATCATTCGACATAAATTTAAGTACTCGTGTTTTTTTAACATCTGAACTCGTAAACTAACGAAAGTTTAGTGTAAATAAAATTGTTAAGTGAAAAACACATTTAATTTAACTATCATCTAGCAAGAATCTGGCAGTTTCTCTACAACATTATACTGGTCCACTAGCTACATTATTACTCTCCACTGCTCCCAGCTGATGTGAAGGCAGCCCTTCTTTCTGTGACGGCGATTCAGAAGGTAGTTATTTAAAGTCACAGAGAACATGGTACTTCGAAACCGAAATTAGAAAACGTCGTCGTCCCACTCCAAACAATTATCTATGTAATCTAATTATTTTTTCTAAATGTTTTATTTATTGTTGACATTCTACATTGTTACTGATTTTTTTACGCTTTGTTTTAGGGGATTTAGCATATCGACAATAGATTCGCATATAAACAGCTGTTTGAGAAGGGGTATGGAAGTAAAGTTATCAGCTTTCGGTATTACCAAAAGTGTTGCTAAAACAATAATGGATGGTATTTTTAAAGCAGACTGTGGTAAGTATATCATTAGATAATTGATATTTACTTTTTTAATGACTAGATAGTGTCTTCAGTAATACCTGTATCCCACGTGACTAAATTTATTTGGATAAGTTACATAAAAAAACTTCAGTAGTAACCCTAAAACAGTGTAATCGACCTATTTGACATAAAAGCGTCATAAAAGTCACTAACAACAGCCATTTTCATTAAATGTCTTGCTTTACTGGTATTGTTACTCTTTATATGAGTAAAAAAAAATAAATGTCTTCTAGGTCTTTTTTATTCTTAGGTCTAACTCTACTAAATCCCGTAAAACTGGCTTGTCCTGACGAAATAACTTTTGGACAAATTAAGACTTTGATGTCTTATTTACAAATACGGGAGCACTTAACCTCAAATAATCTTGCATATGCAGAATTTGATGACCCAGAATACTATGAGATGTATAAAAATGAACTACAACTAAAAATGGCTGAGAAGAAATTAGAGAATTCTCCTGTTACTGATGACTTGTTGAGCCAGGCTTGTAATGAATTTGAAGAAATTTTAGATACAGATGGTATTGAAATTGTTTATGTGGATGATGACGAAATAGATACAGAAGAATCCAAAACAAAAGTAGACGATGAGGAACCAGTTACAAAGAAATTAAAAACAAATTTTTATAATCTATTAGGTAATTATATCCTATAAATGACAAAAGCCGTATTTCAGTTTCCCAGGTCATTTTAAAACTGCAATTAATGCTGAAATGAATAAATTGTTCAATTTTATTGTTTTCGTATACATATACAATATAAAAGTCTTGAACTATTTTTGTTTATTTTTTATTTACAGATTCTCCACCTCGCGTAGATGAAGAAAATGTTAACCCAATGAAAACAAAATCTAGTTTACAAGAGAAAAGTGACGATGAAGTTGAAATCGTTGAGGAAAAGAAGACAATTAAAGTAACGGGAAATAAAGGTGCAGTAATGAAGAAGAAAAATGATGCTAATTTACCGCCGTGGTTAACGAAAAAACGTGTAGGATAGTACCGAAAGTTCCATTACAACAAAGAAAAACTTTATTGTTATTAATATTTTTTGTATGTATTTAATAAATTCTTTTTTTTTTAGTAATAAAAATTTATTTTAAAATATTACATTTTTGTTCTCAAATGTGACTTAAATCGAGAAACTGGTTCTCGATATTGACTGCAAACTGTCAAAATTAATTCGATGATTCCCCATAAAATTAATTTTTCAATGTTTTGTCATACTTGGCACTTTCCCTAATAAAAAGTAAAATTATATTTTCAATTATGTCATAATTTTACTATTTAGGGTGATGGGGGAGGGAAATGATGTATGACAGTCGAGGATATGATAAAATGGTGTTCTCTTGGAATAAAAATCGCCCTGTATACGCGTTTTTTTTTAAGAAATTCTTCAAAATATTCTGAGATATAACCCTAAATCAGACCCTTAGGCGAGTTTGAGCTATGAACTCCAGAGTGTAGTGAAGTATGCGTGAACGGAGTGAACTTAAAGTGTTACACTCGTCAGTTGCCAATGTGATAAAAATGTAAGGATCACCCTATTTATAATAATATATCGAATTATTTTCATTAAGCCACTTGAGAAAAGTAAACATGAATCTGTAAAATTTTATTTTATACCTATACCACTAAAAATATAAACAAAACAAAATATATTACTCTGCTTCGTTATTGCGTGGTGTTCTTTCGACAACTTCCACATTGCGGCAATCTCCCCTATAGCCTACAACAAAATAATTACCTCTGAAATCTTAATAAGTCGGCATAATGAAAGCTTAACCAAAGTTGTGCAGAATAATCTGTGTAGATTAATAAAATGAAAAATATACAGTCCAATGGGTAGACTTAACTTTAACAAATATTTTTATTTCAATTTAAAAAAAAAAGGGCATAATAAGTAAATTCGATTCACGTTGAGAAACTTCGATTTTGTAGTACAGGGTGCGCAATAAGAAATACAATTGTGAATATGCAAAATTAAAAAAAATTTAATACAATTTTGTGTCAAGCGCTTAAATGAAGAGCTTGTAAGGGGAATTGAAGATCCAAATAAAGTTTTTTTATTGAAGCGCTTCTAAAAAAATTTACTTAAAAATTTTTAATTTTGCAAATCTACAATTGTATTTTTTTGCGCACCCTGTACAACAAAATCAAAGTTGCTCAACGTGAATCGTATTTATTTAACAAGCAAAAAGAAATTATGAAGAAATACTTTTTTTGAAAAACTTAATAAATATTATTACAAGTCCATCCGTGGACACACTATATGTATAGGACGTACCATTGAAAGTAATACAAATTTTCGCAATAAAATTTTGAATCGTCCTGAACAATTTGTACATACCTACGGGTACAACGTATCTTCTTACAACGCTATTTTGCAGAAGCTCTTGTTCTTCGGGATGTATAAGATTAGCGAGCTCGAGCGAAGCTCCTTCCAGCGTCAGTCCTAAAAATAAATATAATGGTTGCCTAAATTTTTTTCGGAACTCAATTTAACGTACGGACGTTGTTATCGGTCGGCGCTAAATTAACATCTAATTGCGTCGATGCCTGTCTGATCATTTCAACGAAGATCGTTACTATCCGCCTCCATTCGTTTATGTGTTGAGTCTGAAAAATAATCAAATTGTTATTCAGATGCCAGAGCAAACGAATGGTATGATCGAGAGAAGGCAGTAAATTTGACCATCGCCCTTCGAGGAAACATGCGATATGGCCACGAATACTTGGAACATTTATACCAGTCACAGTTAAAGATTGGCAAATAAACGAGAATATGAAGTAAATATTGCCAGGTTGGAGCAATTTGCTTACCCATCAGCTCCGGAAAACATGATGGAATGTTTGGCAGTCCAAACATTTGTTGATGACTCCGTGACTACGAGATGCAGAAAACACTAGCTTAGCCCGCCACAAAACACTAGCTTAGCCCGCCACAAAACATTGGTCGATGTATTGTCCGCTGCTTTAGAGTATGAGACAACTACGCATGCTTTTGGTGGATACAGTAAAGTGAGGACTGTAAAAGAGGAAAAAGGGGAAGATGAACTCGACCAATTGGTTAACATGATGAAGAGCCTTACTGATAAAAAGATGAAGACAAAGACCATCAGGTGCTAGAATTGCGGTGAACTGGACATGTACGCAGTTCGTGCAAATGCCCTAGGGTCCCAACAAATGAAGACAACATGTCGCAGGAAAACTAGAGCGGGTCGGCCTAGACCCGGAACCTTTCCAATGACCCTCTCATACTGATAGCCTCTTTGAAATGTCGCGATGATAGTGTATACGTAGACGGCGAAGTAAATTGTAAAAAGTATACACTGTTGGTAGATACTGGAGCAACTAGGACCAATATACGACCAACAACCATAAATAACCGTAAGAGGCAACAAGATTGCGACTGCGGACTGCCACAGGTGAAAGTACCAACATCCATGGCACAAGCCTGTCACTCCCTATACTTCCCATGTTAAATTCTGTCTCAAATTTCAATCCCTATTGGTCTGGGGTATTTTTGACAAGTCTGTAGTCACCAATCAGCACGTTGGTTGCTGACACATGAGAAAAATTACATCTAAAAGTAAAAAATATTCAGCCAAGACCAAAATTAGTGTGGTTATTACAAAATTTATGTTTTTTTTTTGTTTTTAAAATAATGTTGACCTCGATGCCTCCTCCCTATTGGTTTGGAGTATTTTTGACAAGTCTGGTGTTACCAATCAGAACATTGATTGCTGCCACATGAGAAAAATGACATCTAGAAAATTGATTAGTATGTTTGTAATAAAAAATACAGATCTATAACAAAATTCGATTACAAATAAATGTTCAAACCAAAAAGAGAAATTATCAGAAAGTTATATTAGATTAGATACATTTTACCCGCGTAAAATATTTTGAATTTTCAAGGTCACAGACTTTCGGACCGATTGACATTTGCGATCTCTTGTTTTAACTATACTCTTTGTCCTTGGTGAAATCCAGGTTCAATTGGGAATTGATACATAAAAGTTCACTCATACTGTTATTGACGTTGATATCGAAGAAGACGTTATACTTGGAATGGATGTAATGGTTTCCAGTTAGACTTTAAGAACAGAGTGATCAAAGTTGGTGCCGAAGAGGTATTCCTACATCCATATATGGAGTCATTACCGTGCCAGTTGCTGTACAGGAAGACACGATGATACCTGGTAGAAGTGAAACCATTATAGTAGAACGGCTTCAAGAAACTATGGAGCAAGGAACACCTGTCATGATGGAACCTTGGAACCACGATGAAGAGGTTGGACGAGGTATTCTGATCGGAAAGGAGTTGGTCACGACTGCTAAAGAAATTCCAGTCCGTCTCATAAAAAAGCCAACCCTGTGATTTGTTTACTCTTTGCCCGCGGTAGTCTAGCGCTGGCAATATAGAGACTAACGCACCGCTTCTCGAAATTACCAGAAAAAGAGGTATGTGGCCGTTGAGTCATAGAGATGGAATTCTCGTACATTCGACATCGTTTAGAAACTACTGGTACAGAACTGATCTTTGTATAAATAGCGCGAGTTGATGAACGGGCAGATTGAATTTAAGTGTTGGACAGAAAAGGTAAATTGTAATAAATAAATTAGAATTGTGAGTTATAATAGTGCCTAAGTATTATATAAATTAATTAGTACGTCATAAATAAATTTTAAATAGTGTGTTTTAAATAAATAAACTATAAATAAATTAAACGAACGTTACAATATATTATACACCCTCCATAAGAGATTGGAAGTGAGAAGGTATATCCATTGCTGATAAGTCCTTATAAAGACGAAACCGGTCTAAGAATAACCTTCTCATTACTAAGCAAAAACAAAACTTGAGATCTTTGCTAGAGTGTTGAAAATAATTTTATATATCTGCAATTTGTCCCTATTAGATATAATCCAATGTCTAATGAGTTAAATAGCCAGATGAGCAGTTGTTATCCGGAGAAAAGCGAGCGCTCGATGTTTTCTATGACAGAGTTTTTTCTCTAATTAAAAAAATCTATTTAAATTGTTACATTTACAAAAAATATCGAATCAAGTATTGACGATTTACTATACTTAGCTATAATAATATAGATTCATAACTTACTTGGACAGTAAAAAATAATGGAAGCATAGATATAGGCAGAGTATTTCCTCTTAATTCATCTGCTGGTGACGATTTTATGACGGCATCTAACAGATCAAATAACATGGCCGATAATAAGAGGTGATTTGCCGGCAATTCTTCCTTCATCAGTCCTAGAACATCTGCTGCAATTACTTCGACGGATACGTTTTCATTTTCATCTAAAATACATTTGTTTTAATGTTAAAGGTAAGTATACAAAATAGATTATAAAAACGACACTTGTATATATGGTTTTATCTACAGAAAGATATAAAAAATGGGGGAGAAAATTTATATCCCAAACTTATGAACTAGATGGAAATAAACTGTCAATATCAAGACAATTTGAATTGACCACTGTTAGAGAGAAAAAACCTTTAAAATGGAATACCAATCGATCCTTTTTATTTATAGAAAAAAGTGAAACGGCAAAATTGTAACCATCATCATTACCTCCTAAAACTAGCGATTGTATCGTGAGAGGTATTAGAGGTTCCTCCATTCTTGTTAAATACGAATAAAGGGCCTGAGACGCTTCCAGTCTCCAGCCAGATTCCAACATATTACGCACTTTTGGTACATCGCCTTTTTCAAGGGCTAACAGTAATTCTTGGACGGCATTTTGGTTCAAGGCAGCGCCAGCCCTAAACATCCAGCCGTGGCCTATGATTTGAACGTCTAAAATAATAAAAAAAGAATATATATTGATAAGAGTAATTAATTTATTATTTCTTAGAAGCAGTTTTTAGGAAGCACTGCAAATGGCAGAATCGAAGGTTTTACTGTGATCACATATCCGGAGCTGCATATGGGTGATTCTCGCCTAACTGTGATTTTTACAACTTACATTTCTCTAAAATTAAAAATGTTTCAAAACGTATGTTTTACGCGTTTTTGTTTTCTATTTATGCATAGAAATAAGCCTGTAAAGTGGTTCTACTACAGCTACGACACAACGAAAACTGTGACAAAATTTAAAAATTTTAATGCCACGGTACTGACATTATTTCCACGGTACTGACATATAAATGATTATTTTTTTTTACCAATTCAAAGATTGGTATAAAATTGCAATAAAATTCAATGCAGTATGCATTAGATTGTAGTCATAAGAGGTAAATTTTATATTAAAAAATGAATTTTGATAGAAATTTATATATTTAATTTTAAAAATGAGAATTGGACATGCCACGGTACTGACATTTCGAGTATATTTATATGCAGCTTGAAAAAAATTACGAAGGTTTATGATCTAATTCATAATGTCGGTTGTAAAATACCTCTAAATTAATAATATTATTAACTTTTTGATGAGGAAAACTTATGCTAAACGATAAATAAAACACTGGACATAAAAAATCAGTTAGGCGAGAATCACCCATATATAGTCCTGGAAGTAGTTGTTTTCTATTTCTAATGCGGTCGTATATTTTCCGGTAAGAATAAGAAGAGAAATAGGCTGTATTTTACTGAAAGCGAAGACGTTTTTAAGTGACTGAATTATAAATCATGTATATGAACTCGTAAAGGGTGTTTCACAAAATATGTTTTTAAAGTAGGCCACGACCCCCAAAGACAGAAATACTGACATTTTAAAAGACGAAAACTTCGATAGTTTTTTAATTTGGAAGGCATGAGAATGAAAAATGGACAAAAACTATTTTTATCAAATTTAAGTTTCGTCCAGTTTTCAACTAATGAAATATAAATACATCGTTTAAAAGAAAAACGGGACACATCCACTTATTCTACTGGCTAATAGAGGGCACTTTGTTAAATCCAAAATAAATACAAGCATTGTATTTAGATATTATCTAAATACAAATGATACAAGTAACAAGTGGCTAAATCCGGATATGTGCAATTTTCGTGCTTTGTCCACTTTTACACAATGATTGTCTGAACTTCATCCTGAGGATCAATCTTATAAGACCGAAACGTCGATGACATTTAAAATATTGGCATATATTCTTTGCCACTAACACTACACTACTAAAATTACTGCAGATTTTTGTGATTATATCCTGTTTCTGATTTAAAAATATGACTTATTTCAAAAAAATATTTTTTAAAGTGACATTTTTTGTGATCGCAGCAAGTGTTTCAACATGATCTACTTTGTGCACAAAAATTAATTGATTTTTTGGAATGTACTTGAATCTCTTTGCCATCGTATACTACTGATAAATGAAATAAGTATTAATATTTTTGTCATATTTTATGTAGGTATAAATGGCGTCACGTCAAATCGTAACCATTTTATTTATACAGGGTGGTCAGACACATTTATGAATGTTCATAATTTAAAGTGGTTTTGTTTCCAGAAAATTTCAAATGAAACCACCATTTATTTTATTTTTTTATAGATGAGAAAATTTGATCCCCAACATTTTACTGAGGCCCTTCCTATGGCGCCTCAGTATTTCATATTCGTGCAGAAGAAAACATTTTCCGAAAAAAAAAAAAAAATTTCGTCTGGTCGTCTGTGTGTATGTATGCCGGCACCATAACTCTAGAACGAAAGTTCTGATTGACTTGCGGTTTCGTTTTTCTTGAATAATTACTTCTAACTTAGAACCCTATTGATTTCAGAATTTTCGGTTCATCCTAACTACTTTAATAACAATTTTCTTAAAATCCGCCTATGCATTCCTTATGTGACAATTTTAGGAATTTCAATTATTTCTAACGTCAAAATTCCTAACATTCTTTACATTCCATAAATTGCAAACATTCTCTAACGATCTGTCAAACAACAGCTGTTGATAGTAAAGGTGAAATTTCTAAAGCGGGTGGCGACTTTTATACTTGCAACCATATAGCCATTTTGGAGGCTATTTTCATTCGAAATTAGTCGCCAAGCCTGCCAATTTATGAAAAATATATTAACAGTTTCTTAAAAATTACTTTATTAAAATAAAGTACATGATCTCAAAACAAATAATCTATAATAAATGCGGATAAAACGAGGGGTAAAATAACAATAAATTAAGTGAAATACTTAAAAAGGGCAGGTTTAAAAAGTATTATCACAAGAAAGTATACCGTAGAATAGGGTGAATAGGATCAATTTTAAATTTTAAAATAGCGTATCTCTCAGAGTGATATAGTGAGATATATCCTGTATACATCAAAATATGAGTTTATATCTGCTCTATTCATTTTTGATTCAAAAATTTTTTTTCAGCGATTCGTTACCCGCATATATATTTTTTTGTTTGCTGATCCTATTCACCTGCCATTGTGGTGAATAGGATCGACCATGCTTTTTTAATGTTTAAACGCATACTCCCTTCTGTGGTGTGTATAGGATCACTTAACTTTTAAGTGTGAGTCCACCTAGAAATTAAAAACACGATGGCGCGGCCAGTCGGAAAGGTAGATTTCATAAATAGTAATTAAAAGTAGTTTTTGTTTGTAACTTTTATTTTAATAAGTACATATGTGACAGTAAAAGCTATTTTTATTATTGTTTGTTGTTGTATTCACTCACACGAATTTCAAATCTGAGAAGACCTCTTCCATATGTTACTGGAGGATTTAATTTACCAACAATATGTTGAAAAGTAAACTCATATTCGTCTTTCACATCCGGGAAAGTGTAGACATAACCTGAATAGTCACTTTAATTATGTTAGGTTCAGTTTTCTTGTAGCGTTTTCCACCCACCGTAGGTTTATAATCCCTAGGCATTATGACGTAGGTACCAGGTACCTCTTGATCCTATTCACCCCTGCTTTTGATCCTATTCACCTCAGCGATCCTATTCACCCCATTCTACGGTATCCGTTCTTTTTATTTATCAAGTATTGTTTGAGGTTACTTTTGAATACATTTATTATTTTTTTTTTTTAATTTCTGTAGTCAATCTATTAAATTTTTTAAATCTTTAATAAAAATTGTATTTTGGGAACTTTTAGTGATGGCTTGCCATACATGAAAGTCAGATTGGTTTCTTGTATTATAGTTGTGATATTGCGAATTATATTGAATATTTTCTAATAGATCTGATGCGATGGTACTGTCATTTTTATTTTATAAATAAATATCAGTCATGTACTGAACATAATTCTGAACTGAAAGCCAATTTATTTGTTTTAACATAGTTGCAATACTCATCCTTTTGTCCTTAATTAATAGAATATAAATAGGCGAAGTAAGAAGCACAAATATGTTACATGAGCAGAAGAGGTAAAGGGGCCAATTATTATTGGATAAATTGCTAGAACAAATTTTTAAACCCTAATCAAAAGGCGATATAGAATGGTTTTAAAAATCAAGGCTTGTGAAAATCATCACATGGTTTAACCTAAGTAATGCCAATGCTTCACTAACCAAAAAATTCAACGTGCTAATACTACTATCGGATTTCGGTATTTCGTTCCAACTTAAATCATTTCTCGTATTTGTTACGCAACAAGTTTACCCTTGTGGGCCTCAGTCTCGATAAGGTGGGAACCACCATTTTAGCGTCTCTCGAATTTTTTAATGGCAAAAAAATACTAAGCTTCATATAAAACACGATTTAAAAATAACCAGAATTTATCAACTCACAAAGGCTTATATTAAATAGGAAAAACTAATCATTTCGAAATTTTATTTCTAGGTATACGGTGAAATATGCAAATTCAAAAAATGTTATTGAATTATCTTTTTTACCTCCGAACTGTGCTCTCAATTAAATCAAAAATTTAACCATGAATAAATGGTAATCCAATACTTTTAAAAATTTCAAAATATACAGGCCTTTAAAAAAGCATGTGATTGATCAGATTTTTTGGGACATCCTGCATAGTTTCTTATATTTTTATATGATAGCTCTATCTCCTATTATAAAGTTGTGCAAATACCCCTAGTCATTAAATAAAAGAATGTAGATTGTTTGTAGTTACTAAACGCAAATGTATTTCTACATAATATTTTCTTTATAATATTTTGTATTTAAAGCATAAATTTGACAGCTTATTAATGAGTATTCATTATTGCAAAACCACTTATTTTGTTCACAATTTTTTTGAATGAATGAAAAACCTTTGTCCCCTTATAGAGTTTGATTTTTGCTAATAATTTCAAGTTGATATTATTTTTCGTTTTCGAGTTGGGATTTTTTTAAATATTTCAACTTCCACTTGATCCCTCATTTTTATTCATTTTTTTCCACAATCAATAGTTTTCATATCCTTATAAATCTTGATTTTTCCTGAAGATTTCAATTTGATATTGTGTTTTGTTACTGAGCTAGGATGTTTTCAATATTTCAACCCCCCGCCTATCCCTCCATTTTTATTCAGATTTTTTTTCAGAAATAGTAGGCTTCATTCCCTTGTAGAGCTTGATTTTTACTATACATTTCATGTTGATATCGCTTTTCGGTTTTGATTTCGATTTTGTTTTAATTTCAACCCCCCCTATTTGTAATCATATTTTTTCAAAATCAATAGGCTTTGTCCCCTTATAGAGCTTGTTTTTAGCTAAAAATTTCAAGTTTCGTTTCTGAATTAAGATTTTTTTCAATATTTCTGAGATTATCGGGACTAGTTTCGGCATAACATGGCTATCATCAGGCCTGCAATATAAAAAATACAAAATATATAAAGTTTAAAAATTAGAAAAACAACACTACCTAAAAGGGTTATTTATATAATTTTTGAGTTTCTTAAAAGTAAAAATTTAATTAAAACCAAAATTCATTCTGTGGGAGGTTGAACAACGATATGGTAAGAATTCTGAGACTTTTTCTTGCAACTATTATAATGGTATTTTTTCTTCACTTTCTATATTGTCATTTCGCCAAATAGATATTTCCTTGGTGCTTAATATGATAGTTATGTATTTTTTTAAACAAAAGAAAATCCTTTTACTTACTTACTTGACCTTAAGGCTACGATAACTTCTCGAACTGCTTGTAAACTTCGTTCTGAGATGTACTCTTTTTTGCCGAAACATTGAAAATGTGTATACTTGATACAAGATGGTATCCTAAAACTAAAACAGCTGATATAATATTTTAGATTTAAAGATACAGATAGATTTCGGTTGGTATTTGCACCAAATTGTAACTTTTTTGAAGAGAAAACCATACCATACGGCCTTAAATAAAGAGAAAACAATTTTAGAGGGATGGTTTCCAAAACAGCTGTAATAAAATGTGCCACAGTGTTTTTTTTACTACTTTGTTTTTCGAAGTTTTTCACGTTAGTATTGATCAGAATCAGAATATATAAAGAAAATTATAACATAATCAAAACCAGTTTTTCTAAAGGTCAAATTAATTAGGTTCATCTGGATTATTTGTTTTCTTATTTTCTATTCAAATAGACAAAAATAAGGATTGAAAAACCATTTTTGTCATGTGAACCCTCGTATAATTAATTATAATTAATTTTTTATACTACAACTTTCTCTTTCAAGCAATATACAGGGGTGTTTCAGAATAAAGTACGTAGATTACTGTGATCTTAACCAATTATTAAGAAAAGGTAAGTATACTTTTCCTGTAAACATCCCAGTTTCAATTCTACAGGGTGATCAAGTGAATTTTATAAATATCCTCCCCTAACGGTTTAGATTTTAACTTAAAAATATATACATATTATTTAATCGCTATTATTAGTCTACACACTATTTCGATAACCCATTGGCGTAAAACAATTTTATTCCAAACTTTTTGAACACTCAATATTTCATAAAAGTTAAGATTAATAAATGTTCCTTACGCAATTTATCACAAAAAAGGACTCTTGGTTGATATCTATAGAACATTCCATTTCCGACATTTTTCAGTTTTATTAGTCCTACTCAAATATGAAATATATACAGGGTGTTTCAGATTTAAACGGCCACAGCTTAATGGGAGGTAGATTACACTTAGCTGATTTCAAAACATTCCCATTCTTAGCCTTTAATCTCACTCGTTATTGAGATATAGGGTGTTTTATGATATTTTTCCAAAACTAAAGTCGGCCATTTTGTTTGAACGGCTAGAGATGTTTTGATAAAATTTTGTACAAAAGTTATACTCTCTTAGGTTAATCAAAGCCATAATTTAATTTTTAAAAATTTCAGGACCGGACTCTCTTTTTTTTATATTGCTCTTCTTAGCTAGAATATCACCCTGTACATCGGATTTTAATAAATGTTACTGCACATTTAGATAGTACGTGGATCAATAAATAAAATAATGTAATAATATTTAATAGCACCATCTTGATTTTCTTACAGTAAATTTTTATAATGGCGACTAAAATATTATAAATCAGTATTTACAAAACTGAAATCAAATATTTTACTCTGTATTTTTCAAACTCAACACAAATTTATTTTTAACTACTGCATTTTCCAATAATAAATTGAACATCTACACAGGACCGGGCTCACTTTATTTGATAAAGTAACAGACAAACTAACAGAAACAAATAATTAATTAAAACTAATGTAGATTTTCAAAATGAACACCGTGAACGTCAATACACCTGTATGTACTTTTTGTACATGTAATTCTTCTTACACTGATAGAAAAATTATTTCGAGCTATCTGTAGTATCTCCTCTTCTTGTCGAAGATTATTTCTCGGGGCATGTTCATGTTTAACTGTAGTTGGAAACTTTCCATGTTGCTTACTGAATTCGAAAACCTGTAAAAATGTTTTAGAATTTGGTACACGGCGATTAGGAAAGCGTCTGCGATACTCTCTTACTGCTGCTCTACCGTTTCCGTTACAAAAACCGAACACAAAAATAATGTCTGCATATTCTTCATTACTAAATTGAATCGGCATCCTGAAATACTTATTTTCATACCATTAGAAACTTACACTTATGAACAAAAGGAATTTAGCTTAAAACACTGTACATAAAATAAATGATATTATTTGACCTACTGTTATTGTACAATTTTACATTAATCATGTTTAAAATACCTAGTTTTTTGAACTTTTAAATTTGATTTCATCAGAGTTTTAGTTCGTTTAAGTTTTAATTTATTTTAATTTCCAAATATAATTACCTAAAGATAAACGTAAAGAGAGGAATAAATGAGGTGGTTCAAAATCATCTTTCTGTTAGTGTAAGAATTAGTAATGAATAAGCAGTACCTAGGTACCAGAAACAAGTGTATGAAGAAACTTAAAAAAAAATAAATTTGTATTTATTTTATGTACAAAAAGTACAGTGACTTGAACACACATAACATGTTTAGTGTGGAATTTATAAAAAATCACTTAATACCCAAGCACAGTTGTTGAAAAAAATTAACAATGTATGTAACAACATTAGAAATAGACCGAAAATAATTGAAAAATCAGTGAAAACCCTGTTAAAACGTTTACGGTGTTCATTTTGAAAATCTACTTTAGTTTTAATTATTTGTTTCCGTTAGTTTGTTCTATTACTTTATTAAATAAAGTGAGCCCGGTCCTGTGTAGCTGTTCAATTTCCTAATGAAAAATGCTGTAGTTAAAAAAAATGAAGATGGTACCTAATTTGTGTAGAGTTTTAAAAGTATAGAGTATATTGAATTATAATATTGTAAGAAAATCAAGATGGTGCCATTAAATATTATTACATTATTTAAATGTGCAATAACATTTATTAAAATCCGATATACAGGGTGATATTCTAGTTAAGAAGAGCAATATAAAAAAAGAGAGTCCGGTCCTGGAATTTTTTAAAATTAAATTATAGTTTTGTTTAACCTAAGAGAATGTAACTTTTGTAAAAAATTTTATCAAAATATCTTTAGCCGTTTAAACAAAATGGTCGATTTTAGTTTTGGCAAAAAATCATAAAACACCCTATATCTCAGAAACGAGTAAGATTAAAGGCTAAGTATGGGGGTGTTTTGAACTCAGTTAATTGTACTCTACCTCCCATTTAGCTGTGTTCGTTTAAATCTGAAACACCCTGTATGTATAATTTTATCTAGAGCCGATTTCATAATGAATATTAAAAGATTCATTACTAATAGAACTTATATCTTATAGAGTTAATGGTCCCATTAGTTAATGGACCTTTTAATATTGATTATTAAATCGGCCCTTAATTAAATTTGCATTTTTTAAATTTCATAATGTACAAAGATTCATGTTTGAGTAGGACTAAAACTAGAAAATCTCGAAAATTGAATGTTTTACAAAGATCAACCAAGAGTCCCTTTTGTGACAAATTGCAAAAGGAATAATTATTATTCTTAACTTTTATGAAATATAGGGTGTTCAGAAACTTGTTTTCGTGACCCTTGATTCTACGCCAATGGGTTACCATAATTTATCGAATTAAAGTGTATTAATTATTAATGGTGATTAACTAACAAGTACGTATATTTAAATTAGCATCTTTACCCTAAGGGAAGATATTCAGAAAATTGTGAATTTATGAAATTCACTTTATCACCCTGTAGATGGAAAACTGGGTCGTTCACAGGAAAATTATATTTAGCTTTTTTTTATTTTGAAACACCCCTGTAGATTTTAATTAAAAAAACAACTAGTTTAATTCTTTAAAAACAAATCACCTCACATATTCATCAATATTTCAAATATGTAGCTAAAGAGACTTTCTAAGACCTTTATTTATTTATTTTTTGATGAGAAAATAAATATTGCATGGATTTTTTGTTTAAATTTGTGACAATTCATTTTAACACAAATATTAAAAAAATATTTATTGAAAAATGTTTTAGGTACCTATTTGTATTGTCTATAAAATATTATTTCTATAAAATTATATCGCAACAATGTTTTGGTATTCTCTATGACCTACTTTACAAAAAAATACTGAGCACATACTTTTCATTAAAAAATAGATACCTCGAATGCATTTGTTATTACTAAAAAGTATTTCAATCAGCCATCTATTTGTGTTGATATTATTTAAATATGTTACTTGGAAAAATAGAATTAAACAATACAGTCTATAATTTTTTTTTTCATCTTAATCATATTATGAATACAAAAATTTTCAAAAAAAATTGAAACTATTTATTTTAATAAAATTACAGAGAAATTAAATTTAAATTAAACAAGGTTTAACAAATAGTTTTCGTCTATCAGACCCTGAGAGTACATTAGCCAAAATTAATCATAAACAAAATTAAATAAATCCAAATCGAATCACGTTTCTCATCTACAGAGCACAATAAACCGTGTTATATCATGTTTTTAAACAAAGTCTATATAAAAAGCATAAAATATCTAAATAATATATAGTTGAACTTTAAAAATGGGGGCATTCAGACCCTTTCTATTTTTATTAATAATTGTATCCACACCGGTCCATTTATATATAGTAAACAGAAAAGTTTGTCCAGTCAAAAATGATGTGTGCCATTACTACGAAAATCCAAATTTAGAAGCCCTCTTCAGAGATGCCGAAGCAATACCGGCACTGGTATCAAGAAATCCGTTTTTCTTCGCCGATGAAACCCCAAATAGAGACCATATAATGAAAAATATAAAATACGATTATTTAGATGTAGATAAAAACTTTGACGATTTCATGGAAATGGACTCTGAAGAAATCGGCACACTAGGTAAAGCCACCTACTTCAAACAAAAACCCATTCCTTGGAAAATGGACGAAATGCAAGCTTATATTGGTGGTCCAAAAGTTCTTCCTGATGTGATGATAATGCCTGACACTCCCATCGGTCCCACAGGACCCCAAATCCTATCGGATGACGAAATAAAATTAGGCCGATTCGTCGTGAATGATTACCCAAATTCTCCACAAATAGGTGGAGACATGATCCAACAAGAAAAATTCCTAACCTATGAAGCAGAAGATATGGGAGACGATGAAATCAATGAAAGGTATCTAAAAGTACCTAGAAAATATCGAAAACCACCTACAGTTGTTTTTAACAAAGTTGTGAAAGCCTCAGAAAGTAAGGTACCTAGTAGAGAATACTTGGATCAGTATTACAGGCATGCTTTAGTTACACCATCTCCAGATCCTGAAGAACATACTATCGAAAAAACTCCTACAGCTGA